TTTAATATCTATGATGTAATGAAATATCCCGATGTTGATTATCCTGTGTATTCAATTAATCTAATTGATTCTCTAGAACAAGATGTGTTCGAAGTTGATGGCAAAGATGAGTTGGAGGTAGTTAATCATGAGCACCTTTTGGAAACAAACACCGAGTTGTAACTCAAGTCCGAAATACAAAAAGCCGTAAGCGAGATGAACGAATTCGATAAGCCGAAAGGCTCCAACAACGTGTCTTATGTTGAGCTTTCGGTACCTACCGAGCAACTTCAACCATCCGTATTGCAAGCCCCGATTCTGGAGCTAAAATCTCTCCACGACCATCTCAAATATGTATATCTCGGAGAGGGAGAGACACTACTCGTCATTATCTCAAGCAAGCTTCAAAAGGAACAAGAGGATAAACTTGTACGAGTGCTTGAAACAACACAAGACAATAATAGGTTGGACTATTGCGATACGAAAGGAATCGGTCCTCTACATGCATGCATCGAATTTTGTTAGAAGAGGGAGTCAAGCCAATTTGCCAACTACAACGGAGATTGAATCCACCCATGATGGAAGTGGTGAAGAAAGAAATTTTGAAACTACTTTAAGTAGAGGTAATTTACCTAATTTCGGACGAGTGCATGACTAAGTCTAATACAAGTTATCCCTAAAAGATCGGTATCACAATGGTAAAGAATTAGAATGGAGACTTGATCCCCATCGGAATTCAAAACAATGTGGCGGTGTACATAGATTACGAAAATTGAATACAATAACTCGCAAGGATCATTTTCCCCCGCCCTTCATTGATCAAATGCTTGAAAGGCTTACTGGTCATGCTTACTACTACTTCCTGGATGGTTATTCCGGATATTTTCTCGATTGCTATAGCTCCGGAGGACCAAGAAAAAACCACATTCACATGTCCTTTCGAAACCTTTGTTTATAGAAGGATGCTATTTGGAACATGCAAGGCTTCCAAAGATGCATGTTAAGCATATTTTCGGATTATGTTGAGCATATCATAAAGGTCTTTATGGATGACTTTACGATCTATGAAGACTCATTTGATAAATGTCCGCATAATTTAAATTTAGTGTTGTAAAGATGTATTGATGCAAATCTTATTCTAAATGATGAAAAATGTCATTTTATGGTAGAACAAGGCATTGTATTAGGACACATTGTTTCAGCTTAGAGGAATAAAGGTAGATAAGGCAAAAATTGATGTTATTGAATCCTTACCCTACCCCACTAATGTACGGGAAGTTCGTTCTTTTCTTGGCCATGCGAGTTTCTATCGATGTTTCATCAAAGACTTCTCTAAAATCACACAACCATTATGCAATCTACTGCAAAAAGATATGAGTTTTGAGTTCAATGAAGACTACTAGATCACCTTTGACAAGCTCAAACGGATGCTCATCTCAACACCAATTATCTAACCACCGGATTGGAGCCTTCCTTTTGAGACAATGTATGATGCAAATGATAATGCCTTAAGGGCTATTTTAGGCCAAAGAGTGGGTAGAAGACCCCATGTCATTTACTATACAGCCATGACATTGAATAAGGCGTATAGGAACTACTTCACCACCGAAAAAGAACTCCCGGTAGTTGTGTTTGCTTTGGAGAAGTTTTGCTCCTACTTGCTGGGCACCAAACTCGTGGTGTATTCCGATCATACAGACTCTTTGATATTTGATGATGAAGCAAGATGCAAAATCAAGGCCGATGAGATGGATCCTACTTCGAGTGAGTTCAACTTAGAAATCAAAGACAAGAGCGGTGTAGAAAATCACATGGTTAACTACTTGAGTCGTTTGAATCATATGAAAATAGAGGAAAAGTTAAAAGAGGAATTTCTTGACGAACAATTGTTCTCTATCGGTTGACGGCTCCCATGGTATGCATATATTATAAATTATTTAGCCTCTAACATTCTTCCGCAGGTATTTCTAAAGCTCAAAAGGATAAACTCAAGAGTGATGTCAAATATTATGTAGAGGATGACCCATACCCGAAGAAACACCGTGCGGATCGGGTGATCAAAAGGTGCATACACGAAACTAAAATTTCCTTCATCCTTACTTTTTTTCCACTCATATGCACGTGGAGGAAATTTTGAGGCCAATCAAACAACAAGGAAAATCTTGGAATGTGGTTTCTATTGGCCAAATTTATTTCGAGATGCCTACTCTTTTTACAAGTCCTATAAACGTTGTCAAAAGACAAGTAATGTCTCGCGAAACATGAAATGCCTCAAACTTTGATTTTAGTTTGTGAAATTTTTTATGTCCGGGGTATCGATTTTATAGGGTCATTTCCTATTTCTTTTGGCCATATTTATATTACGTTAGTTGTTGATTATGTTTCTAAATGGGTGTAAGCAAAAGCCATCGGGATTGATGATTCTAAGGTTGTTGTAGATTTTGTTAAAACTAATATATTCTGCAGATTTGGTATTCCTAAAGCCATAATCGGTGATCAAGGCCCACACTTTTATAACGGAACCATTGGAGCATTGATGAAAAAGTACGGTGTGACTCATAGGATTAGCACTTCGTATCACCCTTAGACTAATGGGCAAGCGAAAGTTTCAAACAGAGAAGTCAAGTTGATCCTTGAGAATACCGTTGGTCCAAATTGTAAGGATTGGAGTTTGTGTTTAGATGATGCATTGTGGGCATATCGAACAACCTATAAAACACTCATTGGTATGTCCCCATACAAGTCGGTGTACGATAAGTCATGTCATCTCACTATTAAGATAGAACACAAGGCATTCGGGCTATCAAGCAATGCAACATGAACTGAAATGAGAACATTGCACACGAGAAAGTTACAACTCCAAGAGTTGGAAGAAATTCGAAATGAAGCCTATGAAAACTTCAAAATCTATAAGGAGAAAACTAAGGTTTTCCATGACAAGATGATTTCGAGAAAGGAGTTCTCCATTGGTCGAAGGTTCTCTTGTATCATTCCAAACTCAAAATGTTCTCGAAAAATTATGATCTCGTTGGCTTGGACCATTTGTCATAACCAACATATTCCCACATGGAGTAGTCGAAATCTAAAGTTTAGCAACTTCAAAATCATTCAAAGTGAATGGCCACGGACTTAAGCTCTTCCACGAAGGAGTGCCATTTACGGATGAGGATGAGGTAGAGTTGACAAAACTCGTTTATGCGAGCCATAAATGGCAATCACGTCGAGCTTTCGACATTAAACTTAGCACTTACTGGGAGGAAACCCATGTTTATCTCTTTTGATGTTCATTTTTTTTTATTTTATTTCACTTTATAATTGTTTTTGTTATTTTTTTTAGGAGTCGGCGTGGCCACGCTTCAAAGTTAGCGTGCCCACGTTTTTGGGTTACATCTGCAGGGTCCTATGCAAGTCGCGGCGTGTTTTTAAATTTTTTTTATGAAGTCTTCTATTTCCTTTAGTTTTTGTGTAGGTTATCGGACCAATTAACGCTTACGGAAGGTGGGGATGGCGTTCTTTACATGCAAAAATCTTTGCTAAATTACTAAATTCCCTTGCATTTTACTATTTGAGATGTCCAAATGATAAACCTTAGTCTGTTTTCGTATTCTATGTGCTAGGATGTGGAACCGATTGAAAAATGACATTAAAAGAATCATATAAAGAGAATTTATGATCGAACCAATTCAGCCACTAGAAAGCACAAGAAGCGTGGGCATGCGGATGCGAGCAGACATAGACGCATAAGGACATGAAGGTGTGGGCACGTTGCAACTTGACATGGGCATGCTGAAAGTCGCGAAACGGACAACGGGCTTTAACTAGGAAACAAAATTTGTTGCGATTTGCTAGAAAAAAATGCCGACCTACTAAAAGATGAGAGAATATTGTGTACCCTTTTTGGGAAATAGACAACCTGTATAAATAGGAACCTAGTAAATTAGGGCGAGACACTTTTTGATATTATTCTTCATTGTATAGGCGACTTTATTATCTCTCTCTTTCTCTCTCTCATGCTATGACAGTTGCCATAAGTAGCTAAACCCTTTTCCTTAGTGAAGGTAACTAAAGCTTTTGGAAATCAAAGATTTTGAGGTGCTTCAACATTAATGCAAATCAGTTTGTTTATTTCAAGTATTGAACTTTCTTACGTGCTTATTTTCATGATTATTTAGGTTAATTTCTAATGTGTACGAGTTAGTTTATTAACTTAGATAATCTATAGCTAGATTGAATATTGAATCCGTAATTATTCAATCCCTTTGATTTGTGTAGCAATTAGGAGTATATGGTTTGTTGCGTCAAAAACTAATGACTCTTAGGAGGATTGTTCAACTAGATTAAATGCAACTACATGTGTTATGTTGTCTTGCTTTATTGATCTTTCTAATATATAAAGCCATTGTTTTATTAAATCTTAGATCGTATCTAGATTTGTTAAATAATGAGGCTTGATTAGAATACATGTTTCTACTTGGGTAATCGTAAAGAAAGATTGATTTCAATATCACAACAAATATTTGAATAGGAATCTAATATTTCTTGCACCAAGGATAAATCTCAAGTTCCAAAAGTGGATGTGACCCGAACCAAGGTTTGTTTACTTGAATATTTATTTTAAACTCATTTTCTGAATTTAATTTGTTTAATTTCAGTTATATCTCAATCAAATCAAAACCTCCTTTTATTTATTTCATGTTTTTTTTAGATTTGTGACGGCTAACACGATAGAATTCCTCGTGAAATCAATTCCTACTCTCCCTTACTACATTTGTGTTGTAGGAGTTTAATTTGGATGCACACGACAGTAACTTATCAAAAACTATAGAATTTGACTTGAGGATTAATTTGGAAAAATAAAATCAACATCAAGTGTGTGATTACCTTAAACACATGCATGCAAGAATAAAGAAGAGAGAAAATACAAAAGCTGAAAAAAATGAAATAAGTACAAAATTAAGTGTGATCTACAAAGTCATATGCTCCATTGTTCAATGTTATAATGAAGAGGAAAACAATAAAACTCATTCAAAAGAAGCCATTGCAGGATCTGGTGGGTTGATAAGAAAAGTATCAAGAAGTTGATCAATAGTTATGTATCCCAGGTCTGGATATAGCCTAGAAGCCTCCAAGTCATCCTCACTCAGTTCATAGCCCATCAAGTCACCCTTTACGAACACACTATGAAGAATAGACACTGGAATGTTTTGTGGATGTGGAAGGGCTGCAACAAATATTAGTAGAGATTTCGTCAAATGATTTAACCAAATGGAAAGAATTTCACAAACAAATGAAGAATTTCATAAAATAATGTCCATGGAAATATCTTACTCTCAGAGAGCTTAACAATTTCTTCCCCCGTGACATAAATCCTATTGAAAGTCTTGCCAGTCTTCTTCTCCCAAAGAGAAATAAGTTCAAGTTGAGTTATAATGTTCTTCTGCGGCCGATAGATTACAACTCGATTACATGTTTCAGGGTCTTCTGCCACTGTGATGGTGTACATGGCTATATCTTCTTCATAATTTAGCACCGCTGTGAAACATAATATATATATATATATGCCCAATGAATTATCAGAAAGAAATCAATTATTACATGAATTTGGTCCATTCGACCAAGCCAATCATGCACATGATCCTGATTTATTACTGTTTAGCTTCTGGTATAGCAGTAATAATTTTTTATATACTTATAAGATATTTGTTTAGTAGTAACATGCTTCTTATACTTACAAGATATTGTAGAAATAGTTCAAAAATCTCAAAACAATAAACAAATATAAAAAAATTTATTGGATTCGACAACTTATGTTTACTTCACGAGTAACATGATCTAAGAAAAAATCCACTATGTGAAAGCTGAAGATTACGAGGTGAACTGACTCTCTCTCTTTGATATAGCTTGATATATAAGAAAGAACCAAAATATTTTCTTTTCCTCTCTCTACAAAACTACTTTACACATACAAAAGAAATCACTCTCCAAGTCTATCTTCTCTCACAAATAAGTCTTGTTCTAAAATATGACAACCTTATGCTTTTATATGGCTCAAGGTTTCTGGATTCTCCAATAAGTTATTTCAATTAAGTTTCCTTAGCAAATTAAGTCTACGAGCATATGCATGAGTCTATTTGTTTTCTCATTTGGGCTCTCCAAGACAAAATCCAACACAAGAGGTTCAAATCTATCACATAAAATATGTGATTTATAAAAAATCTCATTATAAGAGGATGTGAAAATAATTTTTTATCTTTATAACAGTGCTTAATTCAGTTCATCATGAGAATAAGATTCACTCTCTTCTCTAATTAACCCGTTAACTACTGACAGCTAATAGTAACTCTATAATTGCCTAAACATTAATTGTGAGATGTGTGGTATTATTTATAGATGATGATGATGATGATAATAAATGAATTAATTAATAAACAAGTTATAAATAATGATGATCCAATTGACTCCCTCCACCTCAATTTTATCGGCTCTTTTGATTTTTCAAATTTACATTTTTCCTTTTCTTTTATAAAAGATAGAATTTAACAAAAAGAATTATAAAACATATAAACTTTAATCTTCCTAAAACTTAAATTTGAAAGTTTAAATATATACAACTAATAGATAATGTCAAAATTAATTTCTCGAATTTTTGAAACTGACGTGGCCAATCAATTTAAAACGGAGGAAGTAATAAATTAAATGTAAAAATATATATTTTTCTTCTAAGTTGTGACGATGAATGAATGAATGAATGAAAGAGATGCATTCATGAAATGCATTCGTACTCTTAGCTTCACCAGAGCCATAGACAGCAATATCTTGTGGTTCCTCATGTGGACGAAGTAAGAAATTGACAAAATATGCACCAAAGCAATTTGCAGACACAAAAGTGTAAGGGATTCCAGCTTCCTCTATGGCCCTTCGGATCTTCCTCTTCTTATCAAGAAAAGCTTCAAATGGGGGCAGGGGAGTCACTCTATCCTCTTCAATTCCAAAGTCTGACGGAAAGAACCTCTGGTATGCACAAAAACTTACGTGAACAAGCTTGAGCTTAAGCTAGCCCACCACACTTGCACATAATTATATATAAACTTCTCCAAACTGAAAGGATATTGACATACCTTTATATTACCAGCAACTTTTATGGCTTCTATGATTTTGAGTTGGTCGAGTACCTGAGGGTAAGGTAGTGTGGAGATTACTACATCAACTTCGCGAAGTGCTGCTACAATTTTCTCCTTCTCGTCCAATTCACCCTGTAACATTTTTGAAAATTTTTAAGAGTCATATAGCATCATTCTTTTGAACACATACATATAGAGTGAAGGGTAATGAAGATTAATTTATAGTTACTTGGACAATGGTGACCCCCATGGTTTGGAATTCCTTAAGGATGCCTATTTTAGCAGGAGAAGATTGTTTGGTGACGGGACGAGCATATACATAAGTTGTGTGTCCGATTGAAACACTTGCTTTCACCATATACTTGCCTATGTAACCAGTTCCCCCAAATATGAGGATCTTGCTCAACTCAATCTTCATTGCTTGCTCTCCCATTCTCTTACACCAATGCCTAGCTATTAATCTTCCTCACTCGCTAGATTTATACGTGCAGACCGTTGACCTTTTGGATTTGATTTTCACTCTTCTTCCCCTCAACTAAGTTACAAATTAGTCCTTCTTTTTAAGAAGTGAATTAATTAGTTTCTCTTGTTCCAGAAACTAATTATTTAGTTCTTACATTTTTTACTTTTCTTATAACTTAATCTTTTTTGCTCTTTTTTTAATTTAATTTGCTTTAAAAAAAAAAACTAAAAAATATAGAAAGATTAAAGAGAAAAGATGACATTTTATGAAATAAAATTCATATACCTATATTATTGTGATCATGACACGTGTTTTCATGCTCTACTTAGAGATTGACCGACCAAAAATTATATTTGAACATAATAATTTTGACTAGCCGTCAATGACCATAACAATCGAGTAAAACCGAGCCAATCAATACAAACGAGTAGCCTGAATAAGGAAAAAAAAAAAAACACCTTTCAACCCACTACATAGACAAAAAAGACATTCATTTAATGAATGTATTACTTCTTGAGATTTTCTTATCACATTATCACTAACTATATTATTAGTTATGACCTACACACAAAAGTCAATCTTTTTATACTCTATTTAGGCCAAATACCTCTTTTCCCAAGTTAACTTAACCATTAGATAATCCTTCGAATACTATAAGAGATCTTATTGTGTAGGTGCTCATCATTGAATCAACATTCACTAAATTATAACTATCATACGATCAGTCTAAGTTAAAGCCACTTCATCAACAATTATAATATAAGAATAATCATCTCATAAAAAATAATATTAATTAAGTATGATCAATATTAATTAATGAACTAAATAATTATTTTTTAAAATAAAAGGGTTTAATTAATTCATGTTAAAAAATAAAGAGATTAATTTATAATTTACTCTCTTTCCCTATCATCTTTACCAAGACAAGTTTGAATCAGTACCTGTATGCAGTAAATGCCAACATTTACTATAAAACCAAAAGATCTGAGATTTTTTAACAGTAAAATTACTGTTCATTTGAGCAATGTTTGGTTCCTTTTTTTTTTTTTTTTTCGCTCTCCACGTTTTTCCTCCTTGCTGATGTTTAGTAATTAGCTAATTCTGCCTTTCTTACTTGCTTTTATACTGAGTCATCTTTTCATGCGTTTTCCAAACGTAGCAAACTCATGATCTGCTGCTACATTTGATCACGCTTTTTAGGATAAAAAAGGTGCTATTATTTATCAAAATGTAATTACTCCTGAGCAAATCAGTCCTTATAAGGGGGCATTTAGAGCATTTGCTACACAAAATCCTAAATGCTATCATGAGAAGTAATGGTTGGAAATGTGAATTATTTGATTTATATAAAGAAATTCATGAAAAACTTAAACAAATTTATTATTTATTTCTTAAGTTTAAAATATCTAATTTGAAAAAATAATGCTTTTTTTTTTTTGTAAATAATTATGTCTATAAGCACATGCATATTATATAAAATATTACTATCACATAACATAATTTATTAATTAATAATTACGTAACATGTATTTCTCAAAAAAAAAAAAAAAGAAGAAAGAGGTATATATATTATACTAAAGATTTTAGTAATAAAATAAGATACTTTTGCCCTATTAAAAAAACAGGATGTATCAGTCCATTTAATATTTATAGTCAACACATTTTAGTAAATAAATTATTTTTGATATATATATATATATATATTTTGTAACTTTTAAGTTACTTCATTTTGGTCAAAAAAATTTTAAAATAAAAATTTTAATCCCCTTACTCATGTACTACACATGCCTTTTCTTTTTTCTTTTTTTTTCCTTTGGTTTTTTCTTTAATTTATGTTCTTTTTTATTTAATTGGGAATTAAAACTTTGAAAAATCAATCATAAATTTTTTCCTCATAAACTCGACAATTATATAATATATCTTTTTATATTTTAAAATTAACATATACTTTAGATTATATTACTTTTATTATTTAAATTTCATTATTTGAATTTATCATTTTTTTATGAATTCTCATCCAATTAATATTTTTTATATGAAATTTTATTTGCTGATATTATATAATTTATTTTTCTCTATATTTAAATTTTAGAATAAAATTTTAAAACATGATTGTTTTTCCTTTTTTAAAAAAATAAATTGGTATAATATATATCATGAATTCTTAGAATTTTTAAATGATAGTTGCATATATATAAACATATAATTATTTTATTCTAAAAGGTAAAAAGTATATTTTAAATAATTTATCTCAGTTCATTAAGTATGATCAAGATGTATAAAAAAATTATTAAATCGTTGATTTTATTAAAAATTAACTATATGTCTTCCAACATAATATAAATTATTTACTATAAATATTTTTTAACATTATATAACCAATTTATTTGAAATAAAATAATTAAAGTAATTTTTTAAAGGAATCAACCAATTATTCAAATACTATTTTTAATGCTAATTTTATTGATTATTTTGTGTGTGTGTGTGTGTGTGTGTGTGTGTGTATCAAATGCATGAACTTGAAAAAAAAAATCTTCTCACCAACATTAAATAAGAATAAAATTTTATTTTTTCATAGGTTAATTTTTAGGGATAATTACCAGAAAAAAACTTCTAAAAAAATCTTATATCCAAGAAACTCATCAATTTATTCTTAAATCTCTCAAACCCAAAATAATATTGTTTTTTCTTATCAAAAAACCCAATATTTAACATCTAACTTAACACTAGTTAACTATTAGGTCTTTTGGTAAGAAAGTTGTTTCTTTTTTTTTTTTTTCAAGTTTGAGAGATTCAAAAAATAAATAGATGAATTTTTTAGATATAAATTTTATTAGAATTATATATATATATATATATATATATATAATAAACTCATTTCATAGTTTTTAATGAATTTGATATTTATTATTTTTTTCATGATCAAGTCAAGTTCTTTTTTATTGCAT